CGTCACCGAACCGTACGTGATAGTTTCCTGATCATACGGCTCTCCACAACATTTATTCAGCCTTAGATTTGATTTACATTCAAAAAATGCATCAAAGACCTTTAGGTTTTAATTGTTGAAACAAATACCTTTAGGGTTTTAATGGTGAATCAAATACCTTTAGGGTTTTTTACCATCATGATAGCTTTCATATAACAACCCTACAAAGAGGTAATTGTTTACGATAAGCTTCAGCCATCAAATAAACTGAAATACCTTTTATAGCTTTTAGATCTTTCATCATTATTATATGATGAATTTGAACTCTATAATAACTTTTACATATAAAACAATAAGCTAAATAAAAAGGGTTTAAAAATACATTTATAGTAGTTATAAGACATTTTACTTGTAATTTTATGGTTTTAATAAGGTTGCTAATACTCTAGGTGTATTATTTTTATTACGATTAACTAAATCTTTAATTTGTAAATTTTTACCAAATTTTCCATATACTTTGGATCTTGTACCCAAACGATATTTATGAACAAATGTACGTAAAACAAAATCTTTAATGATGTATAAAATATATCCTGTTAACTGATTTTTATTAAATACAAATGAATAAGAATTAAGAAAACCTCTAATAATACTATTAGCTAAATGTAATATTTGTTGGGGTTTTAAATTCAATCAAGTATATTTAGACATTCCTATATCTTTATTAGCTTTTCTAGATATAAATCCAGCTTAGCTAATTTAGATTTTATTATATCCATAGGAGCATTAAAAACTATAAAATTAGAATTACGTTTGATATATTTACCCGAAGTAATAGATTTACCATTATAATGTTTAAAGTATTTAAGAATGGAATATGATCTTTATAAGAATTGGTTATTTTAGTTATTTCATAATTTAATCCTAATTCATTAAAGCAGAAATAACTTATCTTATTTAGTATTAATTTAGTATCATGATACGAACCATTTATAGCTTCTATTCAATCATCGGCATATCTAATATACTGTAACTTACGAGTGTAATTATGACTTAATGAATTATCTCCAAAATTATGATATCTATATTGAATACTATCATATTTACCTTTGAAATCAAATTCATCTTTTAGTTAATAACGAAGAAATCTAATTGATGTAGTTAAATATTAGCTAATATACCCGGCAAAGCCGGGGATATTAAAATTGGACTAATTATTGAACCTTTCGGTGTTATGTCAGTTTTACGTATACATAAATAATCAGAATTTAATACTTTACGTGTTAATTCTATGAATATTTGATCACTAATTATATAAGATAATATATCTATTGATTTATCATGAGGTATAATATTACTTTCCATTGGGATTATATTAGATATTCATCAGGTACAACCTTTAAATGTAGTAAATATTTTTCTTAATGCTGAGTGACAACTTTTATTAGGACGATATCCATGAGATACATCAAGAAATAATGGTTCGTAAATAGCTTCTAATACTATACGAATTACTTCCTGAACTAATTGATCTTCAGGATTATCTACAGATTTTAATTTATCTATGAATCAAAGAAATTTATTATCTTGAGATATTGTTATACGTTTTTTATTTAAATTGAAAAGTGTTATCTTTTAATTTTATAATATTTTATCTAATATTTCTTCTGATATATCATTAAATGTCAGAATCATACCTGGTTTAGATTTTAAATTATTATAAGCTATCTTTATAAGATTTTTGTTTAATATGAATGTCTTATATAGTTTACGATCTATAATACTATTAGGATTATCTTTGGACCTGGCTCTAAGACTGTCAAGACTATTCAGTACAGTTTTTGAGCTTCCTGCTTCTGTACTAAACATTCTTTGACTAAATGTTGCTGGTTCTCTTCACTTACTAAACATTCTTTGACTAAATGTTGCTGGTTCTCTTCACTGGGCACTATTAATGCTTCGCAGATTTCCTCTGCGGCCCCAGCCAGGGCCGGCCCGCGAAGTGCGATGGCCCAACGAGGCACTCGCAGCCCGAACAAAACCACCAACCACCCGTCCAGATCCACCAAATACCCGTCGAGATCCACCAGACATGCCCGCCAAATCCGCCGACACTGCCCCCGACGCGCATTGCGAGAACCACGACCCCAACGCCCTCATAGACTACGCGGACGCCATTTCGTACTGGCTGTCTGTGCCGGCGTCCGTCGACGGAGTGCTAGGAGGCTTTGGCGAACAGACGCCGGTGCCGAAGGCCGACATCATCGGGTCTGCCACGTTCCTCCGCAAGCTCCAGACGCGCATGCAGTGCCCCGCCGGGATGCCGAAGCTCACCATCGACATGGGGGCGGGCATCGGGCGCATCACGCGAGACTTCTTGTGGAAAGTCAGCGACCGCTGCGACTTGTTGGAGCCGGTCCAGCCGTTTGTGCAGCAGATGCGCAGCGAGCTTGTGCCCGTGGCGCAGAAGGGCCGGTTGGGCGACATCTACGACATTGGCATGCAAGAGTGGCGGTGCGCCAGCGAGAAGAGGGGCCTGTACTGGTTGGTCTGGTGCCAGTGGTGCGTGGGCCAGTTGCCGGACGAAGAGTTGGTGCGCTTCTGGGCCCGGTGCAGGGAGGCGTTGATGCCCAACGGCACGTTGATCGTCAAGGAGAACATCGCGCCCGTCGACGACATTTTCGACCCCACGGACCTGAGCGTGACCAGGACGGACGCCAAGTTCAGGCTTCTTTTCCAGATGGCGGGCTACAAGCTCATAGCCAGCGACGTGCAGAAGGGCATGCCGCGCGAGTTGTACCCGGTGAGAATGTACTGCTTGAAGCCGCTCGAGGGGTAAGCGGACGCTCGGGCCCACTCTGGGGCAGGTGTATAGAAGGTGACTCTGTTGCGCCATGCCCACCTGGCGCTGGCCTGCTTTCTGCTCCAGAATGCACGACTGGCGACAGCGCACATAGGCGGCTGGCGGGGCCGCGTCAACAGGACACGGAGGAGCAGAGATGGGCCCTGTGTCCAGCACACTGTTCTGCCATGGGCGGCCCGGTATCTTCGTGTGTTGCTGCGGCTGGTGTTTATACCCAAACGGGTGATGCAGACCCGCAGACCATCTTTATGTATACTATGGAAAGCTCTAGATCTAGCAGGTTGTATATAAAACATAGATGTCACATTGTTAATATGAAAAAGGTAACTTCCTTACTTAATTAGCTTCGAATGCTACTCTGGATGTTGTGTACTCGATGTCATAAGATAGGTATCGAGTACGCTGCTCGCTCACATGGACCATGAACGCCAGGACGGTCTTGTTTCCAGTGGACTTGCCCGACCTTAGCCTTGCGTTCAGATGAGCAGCGCACATGGCAGTAAGTGCTTTGGTACTATACCTCATGATATAATTATATTCATGAGAAAGATATCTGAAGTGTCAAAGAACACGTGAATTAGTACATAAAGTTGATGCGGCCTTTCATGGTCGTTTTCTTAACTTATGGGGACTCCTTGAGGCAGTGCTGAGTCCTTTATCAGCTAGTACAGTATTATATACATTTGGTAAATACATGGAAGAATATAGTATCAGCTCATAAAGATTTAGAATATCAGCATCATTAGAATGTAAAAGTGTAGTATAACATAGGTATGAAATTCACGGTTCTGAAACACAGAGAAGAATGCCTAGCCTATTCGTATACTAAGACAGATATATATTCTGTGAGAGATTCTGGTATGCAGCAGATATGTATCCTAGGACAGATATACATAACCTATGAGACATATTCGTATTCGGTGAGAGGTATTCTATGACAGATCTTCATATTCTGTGAAATATTCATGTACTATACGATTACATACTTATGAGATCTACATTCAACAACTTGAGAGGCCCTACTTTTAGACGTATGCTGTTTACCAGCTATGCTGATCATTTTTATGAAGTGCATAGAATAAGACTAGATGTTGAAGAATTCTCACGCCGTCGGGGTCTTGAATTTATATGATGAAAACATCTTCCCTTCAAATTACTCAAGGATTCAGGTTGGGTGCCTGATGTTCTAAAAACAAAAAATAGGTTATTCCGCTACTCTAGAAATCATAAAAGTCCTATTTAGCGTACATATGCATTGTTTGATTAGTTATTATGGAAAATAAGTTCATAACACTACGCATCTTTTTAAGGTTCTTGCTACAGCTTGAAAAGATTTAGCTCATCGCAGCCATTTTACTTTCTTTCTATTTATTCAGTTGCTGGCGACTACTCTTTAACAAGACGTTTATTGGTTGTGTCTTGCTCATTGAGATAGATTGAAGTTTGAATTAAAAGGGGCTAGAAAATCATTTAAATTAAGGAAATACGTTTTAATCCAGATCCCCAAAGAGGTATTTTAATGCCTCAAGAAGTTAAGGTTCTGCACAAATTTAATACATCTATCTTAGATTTGACAATATAACTATTTATACTTAACAACTCATCATTACATCTGGATTTGACAAAGTATTGTTATTTTCGGTTATACTATTGTATATAGGACAAGCTAAAGATCTTAGATCGTTCTTATTGGTAAATCTTTCGCGCATGAGTTGGTCACATCTTCGTAAACAGATTCCGAATATACCATCAAAAAGAGCTACACTCTGGTGACTTCTCAGGTGTTTACTCATGAAAATCCCTGATTAAGGGGATTACCTGGTATATGCATTAAAATCTCTTTCTATAATTATATTCTTGAGAACTTCATTTTTGGCGAGCCGTATGAAACTAACACAAACGGTTCAGAGGGCAGTTAAGAATAGCCTTGTACAAAGGGGTAGCATTAAATAATTGCCTTGTATGCGTCATTTTTGTATGACGCTGACCCCTTTCTAACGAGCATCTTTTTCTTCGTTTGTTGTGCGGCGTGTGATCCATTGTGTATTAGTAGTATTGTACTTGGGGTCATTATTGCATTTTCGATAGATGAGTACCCTATTCTGGCGTGTTAGACTTATTTAACATGAATAATATTGATGCAGAGGAATATGTACATTTTGTGGAACCTAATGTTTTGAATATGAGAATTGGAAAAGTTGAGGACATACGTTCATCCACTGCAGAAAACGTCTGAAGATAGAATCTGATGTTCGGTAAAAGTAGTATTTGTTTTGGTAGATTCATCTGATTAAAAGAGCAAAACTATTCCACTAATATAAAAACATTCAAGCAGCTCCCAGATCAAACCAAGTGTTGAAACTCGGCCCCCCTTCCGTTAGGTACGGCCTGGACAATCCTCTTGATTTGTTTCTGATTACGTAATAACTATTACGACATCAGTTCCTAGGATAAGTATCCTGTTGTAATCGCTTCAACTCAGATGGCTGGAGCGGACGTGAGGAGCCTATTCATGCGACGTTTCGAGTATATATCCTGAAAATCGTGGTGACGAACCAATTTGATTTTGTTGAGTTTTCTAAAAAGTTGTCGGCTGGAGCCAATGCGTTCAAACTCCTTGGCTCTGCAAATTCTAGCTTTTTCCACTAGTATTTGGATGTTTCACAGTTATTTGGTAATAATGCGACAATATTTCTGTCAGAAAAGTGGAACTGGTAGACCTCAAACCAAAGGGGTTCAAAGAATTTTGAGATCAAGAGCGCAAGCAGATAAATGCACGGTGACTTCTGCATCAGGAGGAGTATAACACCTCCAAGCCATGAGGACGGGAGACTAAAAATCTTTTGTTTCAAAGCGACTAAAGATCTTATTCTTCAAGGAGAATAAAGATTTTGTTTTTCAAAGAGACTAAGGATCTTGCTCTTCAAAGGAGACTAAAATCATTTCTTTAAGGAGAATAAGAATTTATTTTTCAAAGATATTTATTGTTCTTTAAGGAAACTACAGACTTTATTCTTTATGGAGAATATTTTACTGTTCAAAGAGACTGAGAATCTTGTTCTCCAAGGAGACTCAGTTTTTTTTCATAGAAACCAAAGATCTTATATTTCAAGAGACTAAGATCTTGTTCTCAAGGAAACTACAAATTTTATTCCTCAAGGAGAATGGAGATTTATTTTTCAAAGAGACTAAAGATTCTATTCATTAAAGAAACTGCAGATCTTGCTCTTCAAGGAGACTGAGATTGTTTCTTCAAGGAGACTAAGATCGTTTCTTCAAGGAAACTACAAATCTTATTTCTCAAAGAGACCAACGACCTTGCTCCTCAAGAAAACTAGTACCTTGTTCTTTAAGGAAAAAAAAAGATCTTTTCTTCAAGGAGACTGAGATCTTTTCTTCAAAGAGACTGAGATCTTATGCTTAAAGGAGACTAAGATCTCTTCTGAAAATAGACTAAGATCTTATGCTTCAAAGAGACTAAGATCTTTTCTTCAAGAAGAATAAAGACCTCATTCCTCAAAGAGACTAAAGACCTTGACTCTTAAGGGTACTAATACCTTGATCCTCAAGGAGACTGAGATTATTTCTTCAAAAAGACTAAAGACCTTGGTCTTCAAGGAAACTTAGATCTTTTCAAGGAGACTAAAGACCTTGCTCTTCAAAAAAACTGAAATATTTTCTTCAAGCAAACTAAGATCTTATTCTTCAAGGAGACTACATATCTTTTCTTCAAGGAGGCTAAGATCCTGTTTTTCAAAGAAACTAAATATTTTATACTTCAAAGAGACTAACGACCTTGCTCTTCAAAGAGACCAAGATCTTTTCTTCAAGATCACTACAGATCTTACTCTTCAAGGAGACTACAGATTTTATTCTTCAAGGAGACTACAGATTTTATTCTTCAAAGGGACCAAAAATCTTGATCCTCAAGGAGACTAATACCTTGTCATCAAGGAGAATAAGATCGTTTCTTTAAAGAGACTTAGATCTTTTCTTAAAGGAGGCTTAGATCTTTTCTTGAAGGGCACTAAGATCTTTTCTTCAAAGAGACCAAAGATCCTATTTTTCAAAGAGACGAAAGACCTTGCTCCTCAAAAGACTAATACCTTACTCCTCAAGGACACTACAGATCTTGTTCTTTGAAGAGACTAAGATCTTATTCTTCAAGGACACTGCAGAGCTTACTTTTCAAAAATCCTCTTCAAAAAGACTAGGTCTTTTCTTCAAAGAGACCAAGATCTTTTCTCCAAGAAGACCAAGATCTTATATTTCCAAAAAAAAAAGTCTTTTCTTCAAAGAGACCAAGATCTCATATTTCAAAAAAAACGGTCTTTTCTCCAAAGAGACCAAGATCGCTTCTCCAAGGAGCACCATACGGACGGGGTCTGGCCGGTTGAGATTGTGCATCGTCGATTGCCAAGCGATCATGAGGGACACGCCAATGATTCATCCTTCAAAATAACTCAAAGAACTCAGATCACCGCCTTCTAATGAATGAACTAAAAGCATATAAAAAAGAAAAAAAAATAGTAATTTAAGAGGTATATTAAGTGATCCTTACTTTTGAATTGCTGCATACTTAAAAATGCCAAATATCATAAATAAGAGTATAGATGATATATCATTTTATTATTTTGAGAAGCTAGCTAAAGAAATAGTAGCAGGTAAATACCAACCAGAACCTTTAAAAAGGATAGAAATATCTAAACAACTAAAACCTTTAGATATAAGTTGTTTTAGAGATAAGATAGTACAACAGGTTTAGCATCAATAATAGAAATTATTTGAGAACCTAAATTTTTAAATAAAAGATTTCTACGAAATAAATCAGGACATACAGCTTTGGAAGATTTGTATTCAGCAGGTTCTAAATATAAGTGAGTTTTTCAAGGTAATATCCATATATTAAAATGTTTAGATATCATTCCACATCATAAACTAATAGAAATAATTGAAGATATTAAATGTCATAAAGTCTCTCATTAATATATAAATGTATATGTACAGGAGTACAGATGAAAAATGGATCTAAAAAAGGTATTCCACAAGATAATGTACTGAGTTCTAAACTATATTATATAATACTTCACACATTTGAAGTATTTAGTAAAACTTGAAAATAGAACCAGAACTGTAAATGATGCTAATATTTTACTTACGAGATCCGTTTTGAAGGTAATCCTATGGACATATACTAGTAGATTTACATATATAAGATATGGAGATGATTTTGTGCTTTTAGTAATAGGTTGTTGTGATGACTGTATTGAATTAAGTCTGTCTCAGCACCTTCTGAGTAGCCTCTGGCACCGCGACACGTGCGGTCGACCCATCGGCCATTATGATCCACGATGCGGCCATGCCAGGCTTGGGCCCAGGCTCTCCCTGCAAGTGAAGCTCCAACTAGGCCCGAAAACAAAATAACGAAACCAACAAAACACAACAAAACTAACAAAACACAACAAAACTAACAAAACACAACAAAACTAACAAAACACAACAAAACCAACAAAACGAAAAAAACACCAAAAACACAGAAAACAACAAAAAGACAGAAAACAACAAAAACAACAAAAACAAAAACT